CACACACACACACACACACACACACACACACACACACACACACATACACACACACACCAGCTACATATGTTGGCGAGGTGGGGTGTGAAGAACCTGGAACCACATTGAAAGGACCGCACCAAGGGGACGTGGAACCACAATGTGAGGACATGGGACCCCAATAAAGGACCTCGGAACCCCAGTAAAGGATCTGGGGCCACATGGGAGGGGCCTGGGACTACCATCGCAGGACCTGGAACCCCATTGAAGGAGCCAATGACGACGACTGAAAGGACCTGGGATCGCAGTGTGGCCACTTGGGACTCCCATTAACTACCATTAATGGAACTGGAACCCCTATTGAAGGAACCTGGGACAACCATTGATGGACCTAGGACCACCATCATGGCAAACGAGGGAGCCCTTACACCAAAGCCTTTCCCACCTTCTGTTCTCATATTCTCAATCTCTTGGTCTCGATATTCTCCAAACCTCCGAATCCACGTCCCTCGTGATTTTGATGCATATGCCTATTTTGATTTTCTTTGTCCATTTTATTGACGTGAGATTATGGTGCCGAACCAAGCGGCTAGAACTCGCGCGCTTCATTTGTTTGATTTAGCTTCTGGTTTCCTTTTGATTGGATTGATTGGATTGATTGGATTGATTGGATAGGACTGAATTAGAATGGTTTGGATAAGGCAGCAGAAACTTGGATTGGACTGGATTGGATTGGATTGGATTGGATCAGATGGAGTGGATGACATTGGACGACATTGTATCGTACTGGACTGGATTTGGATTGGATTTGGATTGGATAAGATTGGACTAGATTGGATTTGGATTGGATTTGGATTGGATTTGGATTTGGATTTGGATTTGGATTTGGATTAAACCGGATTTGAATAAGAAGTGATTGGATGTGTTGTCATGTGTGTGCTGGCATTTACATTCAGCTTGCCAGGAAGGTGCGTAATTGATTGATTGTTTGACATCTGATTGATTGATTGATTCACGTCCCTGATTGATTGATTGGGTCACGTCAGATTGCTTGATTGATTGATTGATTGATTGATTGATTGATTTGATCACATCTCTGATTGATTGATTTATTCACGCCTGTGATTGATTGATTGGTTTCAGGCTGATTGATTGATTGATTGATATAGATTGATATAGATTCATATTGATTCATATTGATTCATATTGATTCATATTGATTGATCGGTTCACGACCGTCTTCGAGATCAGATGCATTCTCGAAGTAAACCTGATATCCATCAGATCCCGTAGCTCTCCGCGGCCTTACTGAATCTGACTGTGATAGCTGTCAGGTACATACATTCGTTTCGCTATAGTCTCTAACAGTCAGGTGGCTATAGCACTGACTTTCTTTTTGCAGTAATTTCTCTGTTCTCTTTTCTTTTTCTTTTTCTTCGTCTTTTTCTTTTTCTTTTTCTTTTCCTTTTCTTTTTTTCTGAAGAAACTCTTGAATTCTCTCGGATTATTGTGATGGTGGCGATAATCTAATTGTCAGAACGCTCTTGGATTGTCCTTGTTGCTTCTTTTTTTTTTTTGCTGCAAAAATGCGTCTCTTAAAATGGAAAAATAAAAAGGAAACACGGTATATTATCGGAATCGTCTCCGATGGGCAGATCTTAGGTTTCACGCGCGCCAACGGCTTCCCCGTTTCGTCGTCCGTGCACCCCCCTCTCCCCTCCTTCCCTTCCCCTCCTCGCCCCCCACCTCCTCTTCCCATTCCCTTCCCATTTCCCCCCTCCCTCCCCCCTCCCACACCCTTCCTCTCCCAATTCCCCCCAGCTTCTGGCTCCACCCACACGGACAGAACTAATGAGCACTACCACAATAGCATCCCGATACGGACAAAGCGTCGGGATACCCTTGCAATAGCGTACCTCGTACGCACATGCTGACTTGGGATCCCGATGGGGGAATTATTTTCCCGCCTTTTTTTCCCGCCCTTTTCACATTGCAGCATCGGAGTCTTCTTTTTGCACGACTTGCCTTCAGACTTATATCCATTTGATATTATTTATCAATTTATAAATAGTCAATGCTTATGTAATACGGTACTGGTACCCCTTTGTCAGCAAATAAGGTTGAGGGTTTAGGGTCTAGGGTCTAGGGTTTAGGGATTAGGGATTAGGGATTAGCAGGTTAAGGTTTAGGGTTTAGGGTTGAGGGGGTTAGGGTTTTAGCTCTTGAGCGGTTTCGCTCAAATTGCGGGCGTGTGTGTGTGTGTTAGCAAACAGCATGCATATAATCAATTTGTCACTCTCTCCTGGTCGGTTTTCTGGGACAGGTTCATTCAAGGTTTGCAGCTCACATTCAATCCCGCAAGTGAGCTCTGAACCTACCTCAGTTTTAGGAAACATCGTGTCCAGGGGCAGGGGGGTTTGAGGGGGAGGCCGGGCGTTGTCTGGGCGGCGGGAGGCGAAGTCGGGGGCGAGATTGAGAGGGGGGGAGCGCGAGCGAACGGGACAGGAAGGCGGACACGGTAGAGGCTGAGCGGGAGCGGGGAGAGGCGCGGTTGTTGGGGAGAGTCGACGGGGGGAGACAGCGCGGGAGGGAGGCCGGGAAAGCAGGGGCAGGGAGCGGGAGAGTTTGGGCGGGGGGGGAAGATGCACAGGGGGGAGCTGGGGGAGGGCAAACCGTATCGAAGGCGGGGTTCAGCGGAGGAGGGGTGAGTGGGAGGCGAGCTACGATGTGGAGGAATTACCGGGGGTGTCGAAGCTACCGTCTTCCCCCGAACATAACGCACCCTCATTTTGCCTGTACCGGACCCGAAAGATAGCTTCTATACATTCATGATCAGGGTGCGTTCTGTTCGGGGGAAGCTACTCTCTGCACTTGAGAGAACACACAAAGGGGAGCCGGGGTTTATCCGTCTTCCCCCCGAATAAAACGTACGGTCGTTGTAGCTGCATTTGGGCCACCTTTCAGTGCAAATGCAGATCTATCATTCAAAATCGAACATTCCCCAACACCCAACACAGTCTCAGCCAAGCGCACATTCCCCAACGTGGTCCGCGCAGGTGCCCCTCGGATCCCCCCCGACTCCTCACCGCCTTTTCACGACTCTGAGGGCCAGAACTGCCGCGAACGGAGGGGTGAGGGGATGACCTTCGAAATTCAGAAAGATTGAGTGACGTCACTGATAAAATGAATTATCGAATACCTTCCCGAATTGGAAAGTCGTCCATGGGAAGACTCGGAAGTGGAGAGAGAAAGAGAGAGAGAGAGAGAGAGAAGGGAGAGGGAGGAAGGGAGGGAGGGAGGGAGGGAGGGAGGGAGGGACAGAGGGAGGGGAGGAAGCTTTACAGCTCCTCACTTGGGATTCGGTATCCTGAGTATAAAGCTGCGGATGACGATGATGACTATCAGATTATGATAACGATGCAAATGAAGAATGTCTGGAGAAGGTAGAGGGAGCAGGAGCGAGGAGGGAGAGGTAGAGAGATAAGAGGACGAAGAAGGGTAAGGGAATTAAGGAGGGAGAAAGAGGAAAGGGGAAGCAGAGGAGGGAGGAGGGAGGAGAAAGGAGGGAGGAGGGCGGAGGGAGGAGGGAGGAGGGAGGAGGGAGGAGGAAAGCGGAGCAGAAGGAGAAAGGGGGAGGACGGGGAGGGAAGATACCTGCTCAGAATTGGACATGCACATGGCCACCTTCTTCCCCATGATGACGTCAACAAGAGCAGACCGATTCTCTCTTCCGCAGCGCGGCGGGGATTTCTCCGCTCTCCTTTAGCTTGCCTCCAAGTGCGGGCGGGCGCGCTCAGACAGAAACACACACACACACACACACACACACACACACACACACACACACACACACACACACACACACACACACACACACAGAGGAGCTCCTCTGAACGCGCGTGTGCGAGTCACTTCGCTGCAGAGAACCAACTGTGATACACAAACGTCCTCCTTTCACGGCGTCGCGGCGTACTACTGGCAAAAAGCGGAAAATGACGAGGGCATCTTCACATAGAAGGCGGTAAGATGCATCCGTCACCATGAATAATGGCGGATGCATCTTGCGACTTTCTCTGTGTAGATGCAGTCGCCATTTTTCACTTTTCGGGAGAAATTGCGGCGAGAGCCACAGTGTGCAACTCCCTTTCTTCAATTAAGCGATTCCTTCTTCTCCCACTTCCCTCCTTGTCAATCAGGTGACAGCGTCCTTTCCCCTGATAACTTATTCTGCGCTGAGTTTCTTGCGCTTCTTGCGCTTCTTGCGCTGAGTTCCTTGCGCTTCTTGCGCTGAGTTTCTTGCGCTTCTTGCGCTGAGTTTCTTGCGCTTCTTGAGTTGTCCTTCGGGATATCCGTTAACTTTTGAACGATAGACAGAAAGAGAAGACTACGTAGCGCATGGGCTCGGCGTTTTCAAGGATGACACGGATGAATCGAGAAATGGTCCACATTTTTTTGAAAAAGAGCGCCTTCTTGACTTCACGTGAGAGAAGTTCGGGGCTTGGGCGTTCTGAGCTTCTTGAGGCCTGTCGAATCCTTTCTTTGAGACTCTTGAGGCCCAACAGTAGAGTTTCTTGAGCTTCTTTAGCTTTTTCTTTTTCTCTCCTTGAGCCTATTTTGAGCTTCTTGAGCCCTCTTGAGTCCTTTCAGCCCTCTTGAGGCCAAACAGTAGCGTATCTTGAGCTTCTTGGGCTTGTTCTTTTTCTCTTCTTGAAAAGTACCCCTATTTCAAAGATTTTTCACGCTCAGAAGAACTTGTAAACAAGTCTGAAAATTTGAGGGTCCTTCGATTTGGTCATGATCTTTTCAGGAAAAATGTTTTTAAAAATTGAAAAAATTGTCTCAACCGCGAAATAGCTTATAGCGCAAATGCATCCCATTTTCCATATTCACCACTCGGTTCTCCACTCTGTGCTACTGGTAGCCCTCATGGACCTGTGCTACCGGTCCCCCGAATTTCCAACGTCGGGTAGAGTGGTGGTTTGAATTTGAAGCCTGTCGTGGTCGAAATCAAAACAGGCCAAAAGCAGCGGCGGCCGCTCCCGTTCCCTCTGCGTTCACAAAGTGATAGTCTCCCTATGTGCGCGGGAAGCGTGGTGCCTTATCGATCGAGGCGTTTTGACAAGGTGGCGCCGCGCCTGATTTTTTTTTTTTTCTCTCTCTCTCTCACACACACATACACACACACACACACACACACACACACACACACACACACACACACACACACACACACACACACACACACACAACAACATCAACAAACAAACTACGGGCTGTATACGAAAATGAGGGTGCGTTCTATTCGGGTGAAGACGGATACTTCTTTTTAGCTCCTCCAAAACTTCAAGGGCTCCAAAACGCTACGAGGCTCGAGCTTGCTCACCTCTTCTTCGAGCTTCAAAACTCAAAGATTTGGGTCGAACCCCCCCTCCCAACCTTCTTTAGTTTCTTGAGTATTATGAGCTCCCTCGGGCTTTTGAGGACAGAGACTTGACTTTCTTGAGTTTCTTAGAGTTTCTTAGAGTTTCTTTCTCGAGTTTCTCAGAGTTTCTTAGACTTTCTTTTTTGAGTTTCTCAGAGTTTCTTCGAGTTTCTTTCTTCTAGTTTCTCAGAGTTTCTTAGAGTTTCTCGAGTTTCTTAAGCTTCTTCGGTCTCGAACACTTGAGTTCGTTGAGTTTCTTGAACTTCTTCGGTCTTGGAAACTACACTCGAGTTTTGTTATCCCTAAAGAAGGCAAAAAAAAAGAAGCTCAAGTTTTGAATGTCAAGCTGGAACAATAACTGAAGAAATGGCCAGATTGCTCTTCACACGCATTCTAAAAAAAAACGTTTTCTTCAATCGTGTATACTGCTCATACGTGCACGCATTCCTCTACATGTTTCAACCGGGTGCGCCCCGGTCTCATCAGGAGGCTTCTCCGCAGACCCTCTCGCCTCTCGGTCCACCTTTCTCTACCACTCACTGCGCTGTGAGGGCCGATACGGCCTTGCCCTCGACTTATACTCTCGGCCTCCCTGTTGTACATGCTGCCTAACTCTTATGTGCATGCTGATTGGCTAGTGCCACCCTGCGCAGGATCGTGGGTGTCTGCCCGCAGATCCCATGCAGTCGCTCAATCCCTCGTAACCTAGGCTCTGCGCGTGTCGGGCTGCCTGGATTTCCCAGGTAGTTCGCGTGTATTTCCCACCACGTAAGTCCTGGAAATCGAAATTCGAAACTGAGTTGTCACTTCCACACTTTCCCTCCCAAAATCCGTTATTCCTTACCGAACTTTTTTTCGAAATTCCCCCCGTCCTTCCCACCGTACTTTCTCGTGCCCTTTCCTAGGTCTTATTATTCCGGTAGTGCTTACTACCCGTTGCCCTGTGGTGCCCCCCCTCCCATTGCTCCAAAACTAAACTTCCTGCATTTAAAAACTTGCGATTGGGGGACTGCCCTACGGAGCCGCAGTTGAGCAAGCGGGAAATTCGCCCGCGTTTGAGCCCGTACCCGTGTTTGCCTATCGCATAATATAAATATTACAAGTACAATATAAATGACAGGAATTACAAAAATTTACAAAAATTTACGGGAATTACAATACTTACAAACTTAGAAACGAGAAGTTCACGATTCCCAGAACTTACGAGGGTACTTGAAAATGCCCTCGTAGGATCAGTTATTACCGTGCCCAGTACTTGCCGCGGATTCAAATAATAACCTATATCCTATAATCCAACATATGCCTATTATCCACCTATTCTACCGTATTTTCTTTTCCCATTTTTTCTCTCCCCCCCTACCCGGATATCAGTTTTTATCCGTTCGGTTTACCATCATGCTGTCGAGGAGCGTTTTCCAAGCGTCCTCGCTCATGATGGTTCCCCTGGCGAACCTAGCCATGACGGATGTGAAGAACGTCGGGGGGTACCCCCGACGTCGAAGTTCCTGTCTCATGGTCATGACCGATTGGATCACCACACAACCTGCATTTGCCAAGGGTCTGATCCTTTGGAGTGTGTCAATGATTGCACCGTACTTCGCCCTCTTGTCTGAATAGGAATAGTAATCATGAAAACTCCTGAATGGCATCTCCCCATTGATGATCGCTTGATTCTTTAGCTACGGTGAGATCAGGAATCTGATGGGACCTGCAGTGCCCTAACCTTTATTCCAATGAAGTCGATCGTGTTGCCTCCCTCATTCGTTCTCACCAGCAAGAGTCTCCTCCCATAGCATCCTTCAAATTGCTTCAGTATTCTCTCCGCTTTGTGGAAAGAGCTCTCCATTCTCCTGTCCACCAGTACTATTGTAGTGACATCGACCATGAACCTGATTCCCTGCACCAGAGCTCCGTCTTTCCCCAAGGAACGCATGAACTCAGTCTCATATTTTGTGCACTGAATGCATGTGAGCAGTGGGCTTGAGTTCTTTCCCATTGGTATTCCCACAATTTGCATCAGTAATGTTCCTCTGCAAGTCGTGTAAGTGTGATTCAGCTCGAACTTGACATACTCCCGAATGAGCTGAAAGGATAACTGCACATATCCTTTCCCCCGGCTCTTCTGGTTCATCACCACCTCTTTCCCCCTCCTGCTCACGCTTACTTTTTCCCTTCCCTTGACCTCCCATTCTTGTAACAGCCAATCTACCACATCTATGATTGCATCATGCGGCAGAGAAGTGAACATCTCCTTGATGTCATAGCTCCGTAGTAGAACCATCGCATCCCCTTTCTTATTGTTGCATCTCTTCTCACTTTGCATGAGTCTCTCCTTCAGATGCGTTGTCACTCCCATGTTGAAGTGTGTCGCCTCTGGGAGTCTCGCCAAGAGGACGTTGAGTGCTTTGGCCAACCTCCTGCTTCCCGCCTTGGTTGGCTCCCTATTAGCGGGTGCAATAGGTGGCCATTTCCCGAGGTCTTTGTGTTTTGGAATGACGTACGCGCAGCCCACCTTCCCTTTTCTATCCCACTCCGCTATCTTCTCCAGTCATGCCTTCTTGTAATTGTCCTTTGCTGCCGTCATGACCTCCTTCTCGTTCCTTCCTTCCTGATTGTAGGTGTCGTTGTAGATGAACATTCTCTTCAATGCGTGTTGATATGTAGACGGATACAGCAAAACTATTTCCCCTGCGTTTCTGTCCACCGGTGCGATTACCAAGTGCTTAAATATTCTCTTAACTTCCATGACCTCTTCTTTCGTGATGGCGGGGCTTGCATGTGTCTGTTCCGCATAGCAATTCTTCACTTGAATATCTCGTTGCTTGACTTCCACTTGATTTCTCATTTCTACCTTCAACGTTGTAAAGATCCTCTCTGTCAATTATCCTTCCCCCGTTCCTCGCATAGGCCTTGTGATATTCTTCCCATTGCAGATTAACTCGTTCACTCCCGGTATCTGAGTGATTTGGGTGATCACATGCCCATCCACTCGTGGTAGAATGTCTCCTGCACACGTGCACTTCTCTTCCCTGCTTTTTGCCATTGTTAAGTGATTGCATAATATGCTTGCTACAAACCTGTTTCTCTTCTACACCACTCGAGTACGCCTTGTAAACACTCCTTTCACTGCTGCATGGATTTCCGTCTTGCTGATCCACCTTTGTAGCTTCGCCCTTACCTCCACCTTCCCTATATCTCTATCATATCTCACTGACACCGTTGTCTTATGCCTAACATTTACCCCTGTTTTTCTCCTTATAACTCTCCCAATTACTTCTTTAATTTCTTTCCTCTTCCTTTTTTATGAGAAAGCGCCCGCCCCCATGTACAACTGCATTAGTCTTTCTATTCTCAGCTTCCATAACTTTTTTCGCTTGTGCAGTACTTCGAGGAGAAGCCGCAGATAACCCTTGCTACGTTCCCGCGCACATTCAGTTTGCGTGATTACATGAAGCCAGAACTCCCCCCCTTCCTCTAGCAGCGCTTTCACTTTTGCCAAAGCAATCGTCTCTCCGTTGTGCACAACTGACGTTGTACCATAAAGTCTTTTTGTCAGGGCCCAGTCGTCTCCCCATACCTTACCCCCACTACTTATCACGCAGGCGGTTTTCCCAGTTCGATTCGCACTCTCTAAGACCTTCCTACAACGAAAAAATTTCCCAGAATTAAATAATCATTCCATAGTAAAATTACAGTCTAAATTTTAAATTTTCATTTCATCTTAAAAATGTCATTCAAATTTTAAATTTTTTCATCTTAGTTGCAAACTTTCATTCCAAGAATAGGGTATCCCTTCCTATTTGCACTGCATGCTAGAGGTGGAATGAAAGTTTGGATGAGTTCATTAAATAGGTTAATCCAATCTAAATTAGAAGGTATTTGTTGCACTAGAATGAAAATTTAATTAAAACATTTCATAAAATCGTTCAAACTTTCATTCCATCTTGAACAAATAGATGTAGTTGGAAGGGAAAACTCATATTTAGACGGAGAGTTATCAAATAAAACTGGAAATTTTAGAATTGGACGAACATTGGAATGATAATTTATAAATATGAAGGATTTTTTTTTTATGGAATGTTTTTTCAACTTTCATTTCTCGTGGGAATTTTTCTATTGTAAGACTCCTATTCCCTTCCCTCTCATTTCGCAGCTTAAAAGTGATGACCATTTTCCTCTCCTCGCTGCTCCTTTCTCCGTACTTTTTCTTTTTTTCCCTCTTTCCCAGTTTGTTTCTCTTTTTCATTTCCTATCCACTCCGATTTTGTTTAACGTTGGGGGTAATCGTTTGATTATCGTTAGTTTGCGTCAAAGCGATCGGTAAGACTAGGTAATTCTCCCACCCATACCTCCGTAACCATTTATACAAAATTGGTGATTTACCCTTGTCTCCTGCGTTTGTGCATCTTACATGCTCCCTCTATCTCTCCGCTGCACCCCTAACTGTTTGCCCGACGTATATCTTTTTACACCAGGGCGACACTAAACCATACACTACCGGTTGCTTCATATTAGAGAACTCATGGTTCTTAGGTGCGACATCCAAAACCTTGTTTGCCCACGGGATCTTACCTCTCTTAGTCAGTAGAACAAAGCACGATGTAAGTGCTTTATCTACTATTAGTCGCAACTTCGAAAAACCGGTGAGCCCCCAGATCTCACTCCTCAACTTGAGCAGTCTCGCAACAAATGACAGGAATTACAAAAATTTACAAAAATTTACGGGAATTACAATACTTACAAACTTAGAAACGAGAAGTTCACGATTCCCATAACTTACGAGGGTACTTGAAAATGCCTTTATAGGATCGGTTATTACCGTGCCCAGTACTTGCCGCGGATTCAAATAATAACCTATATCCTATAATCCATCATACGCCTATTATCCACCTATTCTACCGTATTTTTTTTCCCCATTTTTTCTCTTCCCCCTACCCGAATATCAGTTGTTGTTCGTTTCATTTACCATCATGCTGTCGAGGAGCGTTTTCCAAGCGTCCTCGCTCATGATGGTTCCCCTGGCGAACCTAGCTAGGGAGGATCCAGAGCATGTTCTTAAAAAAAAAAAAAAAAAAAAAAGTTGATTCAAAATTTCAATTATGATCCAAACTTTGTCCTAAGCTGGTTCAAACCCTAAACCCTAAGCTTGAGGTTCTAGTAGGTATAGGTAGGGTCCTGCGTTTGTCCGCCAGGTTCTCATTTTTCTGATTTTTCTGATTTTTTCTGATTTTTCCTAGTCTACCAGCCGAGCTGCCCGGGTCCCGGGTGGCCAGCCCGTGCAAGGACCAAAGAAGGTCCCAACAAAAAAAAAAAAAAAAAAAAAAAAAAATCCAAAAAAAAACTATGTTATGCAGAAAACTAAACTGAACAACTTTTGTCTCAGGGTTACATCGAAATTCGACACTAAATTATTATTATTATTATTATTATTATTTTATTTTATTTTATTTTATTTTTGGCCCGGTCGGGCAAGTGACCCCGGGCCACTCTGGTAGCCTAGGTTTTTTCTGATTTTTTTGATTTTTCTCATTTTTTTGATTTTTTTCATTTTTTTTCATTTTTCTCATTTTTCTCAATCGGGCGGGAGACCAGTGCTGAGAGGTGTTTCAAGGGGTACTTCTCGGTGTCTGACTGCTAGTAGGTTGAGTTTTTAGAGTTTTTTTCTTTCGGTCTGTAGTAGGAGGAGGAACATTGTAATTTGTCACTGGAGGACCAATCTAATTTGTCAGCGGAGGACCAGTCGAGGGCACGCGATCATTTAGTTAGCAAAAGTGAGTGTTGCTCGCGCCATATATCGCATTGCATAAAGGATGGTGATAACCGAGCATAGACGACGTCGCGGCGGGGGGGAGGGGGCGGATTACATCTGGGTTTCGTCTCTCTCACTCCTTAGCTCGTCGCTCTCCTTTTCCCCTCTCCGCTCCTCTTCCTGTGGCGCACACCTGTCTTCTTGCTCGCT